TTTGTTGATATTTAATCAAAATAATAAAGCAGGCAAAAGACCCTACTCAGAAGTTAACATTTACTCCTACTAGCCAAGTGTCAAGGATTATTCTTACATTTATCTATTAAATCCTCATAGCAACCCCATGAGCTAGGTTTCCCTAGTTTACAGATACAGAAGCTGAGGCCAGAGAGGTTCAGTAATTTGCCCAAGGATCACACATTAGCAAATAGTGAAGATGGGACGAGAATCTCGAAGTCTAGCCGGCAGGTTCCACTAATGAGAAAAAAATGGCTGGGTACTAGATTGACTAAATTGACGGTCTGATTTGGTCCTCTTCAATTTTGTAAGGCCCCAAATAATGTCAAACACATTGCTTGGGGTCTTTTGTTTTTCTATTAAATTTTAAAAATGCCCCCATTTTCCATAAGTGACGAGGAGTTATTGGGGGGTAAAGTGAAGGAAGGAATTCAGTTATGCAGGGTGCCTTCAGGGTGACCACAGAGTGGCCAGGACTCTCCAAAACTGAAATGACATTTGGAAATAAGAGGACATGCATAGTCCACTGCAGCTCTGACACCTTAATTTTTTGCTCCTCCTGCTAGCTAATTTCTGCTCTTCCCTCTCTCTTTTTTTTTTTTTTTTTTTTTTGAGTTAGAGTCTCACTCTGTCGCCCAGGCTGGAGGGCAGTGGCATGCTCCCGGCCACTGCAGCCTCGACCTTCTGGGCTCAGGCGACCTTCCGTCTTAGGCTTCCAAGTAGTCAGAACTACAGGCACGCACTACCACACCCAGCTAATTTTGTGATTTATTGTAGAGATGAGTTCTCACCATGTCACCCAGGCTGGTTTCGAACCCATGGGCTCAGGAAATCCTCAGCCTCCCAAAGTGCTGGATTACTGGCTTGAGCCACCGCACCCGGCCTCTTCTCTGTCTTAAACTTTACACTTATATATACCTTTCCTCCCTCCCTCCTTACTTCCCTTCCTCCTTCCTCCCTTTCTTCTTTCTTTTTCAGAGACAAGATCTCACTATGTTGCCTAGCCTGTTCTTGAACTCCAGGTCTCAAGAGAGCCTCCTGCCTCAGCCTCCCAAAGAGCTAGCATTACAAACATGAACCATTGATCTAGGCCTTCTTATGCATTAGTGATTAAGCCTAATCACTAATTCACCTGTCCTCTACCTTTTTTCCCTGTTAATCATTTAGTTTTCATAGTGTCTATCAACTAACTTTATCCTTAGTATCTTCCATATCTTCAGTTCGTCTGGCCAAGTGTGAGAATATGACTGGCAGTTCACATGGAGAAGCACTTCCTGCTAACTCTTAGGCCACCCCTGCTACTCAGTGCAGTCCTTGGATTAAATGCCCACTCCTGGACCAGCCAGCTGTGGCCAAGAGGCTAGGTCAAATGAAAAGAACATTCTAGAACCAGGCTCTAAAGGTATTGGGGGCTATTGTCACAGATATGTTCTGAATTCTGGCTTGTTCTCTCTAATATTGTTTAGTTAAATGGCCTCTGAATTTAGGTTTTAATTGTGTGCTATGAAAAATTATAAAGTGTCTTTTTAATTTCAAAGCCAGTTGACAGTCCCATATTATTCTACTCTTTTGAATGTTTGTAATATCTCTATCTCTACCTTCTTCATATCTAAAGGAAATGGTAAGTATTCACATCACATCTTTATATATTTAATTTCCTTAAGATTTTTAGAATGTGATACATATCGTAATCCTTTTCTTACCTGATGAGTAATATACCCTTTATCTTTCACCCTCAGCATTTAAATTACATTTCACTATCACAAGCTTTGTGCTAAGAATGTATGCAGACGTGTCACAAGAAAGAGAGTTGGTATTCAAATTAAAGGACCTATATGAATACTTCAGGGTTATCTAGAACACTAACAGGAAGATCAAACTCAACTCTTACAAATATCAATGATAAGAATCTTGGCCAAATCAATGTTAACATCATTTTTATACTGGGAAAAACATGGAGTATACTATTATGTAGGCTAAAGAAAAAAATCAATAAATTGACTCATACTTAAAAGTAAGATAATACATTAAAAGGATGATTTCAGGTATTGTTCAACTAAAAAATGTCTATAGAAAGATCCAATTTCACCTTAAGATTGGTAACCAATAGTACACACTGCCAACAGGGAGGCCTGGGATTAGGAAAGAATTCTGTGGCCATGAAACTGATCAAAACTAACTAGCCATTAGGGAACGGAACCCATGACCTTCATCTCATTAGTACCAGGCTTAAGCCAACTGAATGAGCTATTCATTGATAACATTCTGATACCTAGCAGATGGATGAGCCTTTACTCTTTACTTAAAATCCCTTTCTGGGTTCCATATTATTTGTACTAAAATGTGACAGTGTTCCTGGTAGGTGGGAAGGGGTGGGGAGGGACATGGCTCTCAGTGCGATGTCCGAAATCAATTACTCTGTTTTCTTAGCTTAACTAGTGACAGAACTGAAATCCTAGAATGTGAGGTGACCTGCCTAATGGTTCCCAGTGGCAGCGGCAGAACTGAATGAGGACACGGATCTCTTGGACTTCACTCCAGGGCACTTTCAATGTGTGAAGGGGCTGGCTCATGGAAAAGGTCATCCTTGGATACTTCCAGAACAGGAGGGGTGTGTCCTATCAATGCAGAACATGCTAGGTGTTGGGAAAAGGTTTCTAAATGGAAGTTCATGCAGAACAGAGGTTACAGGATGGAGAAGGACGAGAGGTTTTGGATGATCTTCCTGGGGGTGGGGGAAGACTGATAAGAATCCCCCAAAAGTCTCTGAAGAGTGAGTGCAGTGATTTGTTTAAAACATTTTCTATGGGCCGGGCTCGGTGGCTCAGCCTGTAATCCCAGCACTTTGGGAGGCTGAGGCGAGTGGATTGCCTGAGCCTGGGGATTCGAGACTAGCCTGGGCAACTTGGTGAGAACTCGTCCCTATAATAATTAAAAAATTAATTAAAAATTAGCCGGGTATGGTAGCGCGTGCCTGTAGTTCCGGCTACTTGGAAGGCTAAGGTGGAAGGATTGTTGGAGCCCAGCAGGTCAATGCTGGGGTGGCCATGAGCATGCCACTGCACTCTAGCCTGGGCAACGGAGCGAAACTCCAACTTAAAAAAAAAAAAATTTTTTTTTCTATGTAAAATGACTTTAGCTTACACAGAGCAACCTGAAATCACTTGGGATGGACAAGTTTGGGTGTAAATAAATACAAAGAAAAATTTAAAAAGTGAGCTAATACTTTAGTTGGGGAGGTCAGGGAAGTTATAGACATGAATCTGAATGATGGATTTGGTACCTACATGTGGTAGGGTGGAACAGGTAAGTAGGGGTGGGGAAGCGGGAGTGTGGTGAACAGTGCGACTAAGCAATGCTGGAAGAAGAGAGTCATCATGAATTATTATCCAGGGATGGAACGGCAGAAGGCTGAAGGACTGGCCAAGAAGCTTCTATTAGTATATTACCATTTAGGGAACAGATGGAGGAGTGTCCTGTAAATAGTACATATTTATATGAAGAATAAAACCATGCTATCTAGATTCTAGTAGTGTATTTTGCCTCTGTCTCAGATGGTGGATCCAAAGGATTTTTTTTTTCCATAGAAAACTCTGGTAGTAGCCTTTATTTATTTATATATCTATTTTGAGATAGAGTCTCTCTCTGTTGTCTAGGCTGCAGTGCAGTGGCATGATCACAGCACACTGTAGCCTCATCTCCTGGGCTCAAGAGATTCTTCCATTTCAGCCTCCTGGGTAGCTGGGACTACAGGCACGCACCATCACACCTGAATTTTTTTAGAGACGGGGTCTCACTATGTTGTCCAGGCTGGTCTCCAACTCCAGGCCTCCTAGATCTCTGGCCTTGGCCTCTCAAAAGGGCTGACAGGTATGAGCCATGGAGCCTGGCTGGTAGCAAGCCTTGAAAGTCATTACTCTTACTGTTGAGTACGTTCAAAATCTTCACAATGCTGAATCACATCTTGGAAACCACTGAGATGAGGTTTTAATCATGATCTCTCTGGTAGAGGAAGACAATGCATTGCAGACAGCCTCAAGTCATCCTTACTTCTGGTAATGCACCTTGGTCAGTTGCAGTTTCCAGACAACCCTTGCTCTCTAAAGCCTTGATACCTTACCCAGGCCTCTCTGATTTCTCTAACATCTTCTGGGAAGAAGGATGGCATCATACACCCTGGTTGCTTGCCCTCTAAGAGTCACTTAGCCGTCATTTCTTCTGGAAGGCCTTTTCTTACTGCCACTGCTGCTCCCCAGGCGTGCTTGCCCTATGTACCCTACTACCTCATCTACCCTACGGTAAGATTAATGCCCAATTTACTTGCCCTCTCAACAGACTGAATTCCTTGTAGCCCGGGCCTGGCACTGATCACCTGTTTATCCCCAGCACCTTGCCAAGCACTTAGCACAGGTAGGCCATTCTTTCAAATGAACAGACCGTTGAATCCATAGCTGAAAACACATGCACAATAGGCAGAAGGATGGCCGGAGCCCAGCAGGTCGAGGCTGCGGTGGCCAGGAGCGGCCACTGCCCTCCGGCCTGGGCGACGGAGTGAGACTCCAACTCGGGGAAAAAAAAAAAAGAAAAAAGAAATATCATCCGGAAATCAACAGGAGAAAATACATCTAAAATGAATTTTTTTTTTTTTTTCAGGAAAAAGAATCTAAAATTAATTTGGTGGCTTCTGGGGTAAGGTCTTAGTTTTGCGGCCCTTTTCTGTGGCCCTTCCTTCCTTCCCCTCCTGCAATGTGCCTTCGGCTATTTCACTGCTTATTATTCAAGGGCTAGAGAGAAAAGGAGAGAAGCTGAAATTCAGATCAGTTAATTAAGCTGATAGGGAGCAGGCCTGAAAAGGATTGAATGTAGTGGGTGAAATCAATAGGGAACTGGTGGTTTGAGATCATCTCTAGCTCTCACTGACCCAGCCTTGCCTACTTCACACGCCTGAAGCAACGGCTACTCAACGTATGAAGCATATTTTAAAAGCCGATTTCAGCTTCACGGGGTTTGTCCCTTTGTTCTGGACACCACCTCGAGCCGTACGCCCCGACGTTCGGTTTTGAGAATTCAGTCGCTACACCAGCAGAAGAAACAGTTGGGCGGTCTGCTTCTCTAGGGTAATTTCATGGTCCTAAGGAAAGCATTTAACAGTTTATTTTCTGAAAGTGGTTCAAGGAACATTCCTTAAGTGGAAAAATTCAATCAGGAATAATATTACTTACATTTTTGGAGGAGGATTTTTAATATAGAACTTCCATCTGTGATATATTTAAGTTCTAGGCCTCAGGCAGCAATTTCAGAAAAGGGTCTCCTTTACCCTTTATCAGATGCAAACAAACAGTCTACCCTGGGCCTGGAGGCTTCTCCTTACCTCTCCACCCCTGCCAAATGTAAGCCATGCTCGTACCATCCCTGAAATCACACATGCTACTTCG